GTGCTCAGCCCGAGAGCGTGTCCGGGCCTCCTCACAACACTATCCTCACTCCGCAGGGTTCACTGTGTTTACTTAATCTGCGCATATTGAAAAGTTATATTTTTGCTCACTGCTGTGTTTTCATTCTTCTCTTTGGAAGTCAAAAGTGCATCAGTTTATGTTCTTGTTTGGGTTTGGCATATTAGTCTTTTACTGCTTTCCCTGAAGTTGCTTTCTGCTTTCTGTCCTGACTGAACTGTGCACCGCTCAGGTTGGGAAAGGCCGCGAATTCTCACTGACCGTGTCTGCGTTGGCGGCCGCTGGCACTTTTGTTCTGGTTCGCTCCTGACGAGGCTGGGAGGCGGGAGGCCCAGGCCTCTGCAGGGGATGGTTAAGGGGGGCAGGTGCACGGAGCCACTGTTCCCCAAAGGCCTGGGTAAGGGGCAGGGGGTCATGTGTGTGTGTGTGGTGTGTGTGCTGTGCACCAGGCTCAGAAAACAGGGCTTCTCACCTCCGAGCTAAAAAAGTGCGGTTCTGGGCGGGTGGACACGTTTCAGAGGTAGAGGGGAGGGCGTCAGTGGCTACCGGGGAGGAAAACTTAATAATTTGCAGTCTAAGAAGCCTAGTTACATGAATGACTTCTCGCAGAGTAAGCCCCTTTCCAGATCTGTGGGTGCCGTGCGGCTGGCATTTCAAGTATGTCCATCTGCATTCAAACGAATCGCTCCAAGACAATCTGATTACGGGTAGTTACTTTGGTGAGAATAGCGCCTCGGTGGAATGGAAACTTCATTTTGAGTCTAATATTAGACCTTGCTTTGGAAAATTCCTTTTAAATGATCACAAGCTGGGAATAGCAAAAGAATTTAACTTTCGACAGACAGCATTCACCAAGAATTTTTAACTGCTTGTGCTGGGTCTCTGGGAACGCAGATGTGAGAAACCCAGTGGGCCCAATTAACTAGCAGAGAGCTGACTTGACTCGGTGTGGGTTTGTATCTGTGGCTGATAAGCTCCCCTCCCGGGCACCTTTGCTGAAAATGTTTTCATTCCTGGGCTGTGAGCAGGCCGGGGATGAAAAGTGTTAGGGTGCCTAATTGTCTCACGGTCGGAATGCCTGGGCTTGCAGCCCCCGCTGCGCGGCCCTACGAGGGGCACGAGAGGGGAGGGCTTGGTTTCGGGGTGTTCCCGGAACATGGTGAACCTGTCCTTGACTTTTGGTCTGTCTGGCTGCTTTGTCTGCGTGAACTCCCCCAAGTGAAGGTGTCAGCTAAGCCTTACGTCCTGCCCCACGGCCTGTCATTTAAAAAGAAATAGAAAGCTTAACTGGTCATGAGGTTTCCAGATTGTGTCTACTTTGGCTTAATTTATGGGTGTGTTTTAGGTGCCTTGACTTGGGAAAAACACTATTGGTGTTTTCAAAGGTTTTCCTAAAATTGAAAAGCATCTTTGATCACTGCGTGTTGTGTAGTGGTGTTTTCTCCTTCCACCTCAGCTGGTCACAAGGTGATGCAGCCTTAGAACTGGGAAGAAACTTTAATGAAAACATAAGCTCACCGGGCAGACTCCTAGCACCGTCTGCGGGGTCCTCGTGTCACCTCTGGCCTTCACACCGGCTCGGGGTGGCCACACCGAGCTCGGTCTTAGAGAGGAGACAAAGCTCAGGAGCGTGGGGTCCATAGTTTGCTTCTTGTTATTGGGCTCCCACTGGCTCAGGAGCGGCCCTGCAGGCCTGAAGCGCAGAACTCCTGACCTTGGGAGCTCAGGGCCCCCTCGCCGTCTGCCATCCCTACAGCAGCAGTTCTGGGACCTTCTTGCCTTAGAGTCCGTTAAACTGGTAAAAATCACTGCGAATCTTTGAACTTTTGTTTATGTGGATTCTGTCTTTTGATATTTACTGCATTTGAGTTATTTAAATTTAAACATATTTACTTTATTAAACATATGTAAATTTCAGTAAATTTACATAATTTACTGAAATTTAAAACATATTTACTCATTACCTCTTTTTTTCCCTAGTGCTAGAGATCAAACCCAGAGCCTCACGCCTGCTAGGCCAGCGCTCGGCCACCAAGCATAAATAACATTTTTATTAAAAATAACCATGTTTCCAAACAAAATAGTAGGAAGAATCGCTTATCTTTCTTTGCACCTCTATTATTTAGCTACATGCAGAGCCGCTGGGCTCTCGTACCTGCTGCATTCTGTCTGTGCAGCATTAGCCTTAGTTGAGGTTCATGAGGAAAATCGGTCCTCACAAAGATAGATGTTTGGGGCTGGGGATTTAGCTCAGTGGCAAAGCGCCTGCCTGGCAAGCGGAAGGTCGTGAGTTCGGTTCCCGGTACCGGAGAAAAACCAAAAAAAAACCAAAAAACAAAAAACAAAGGTGTTTGGAAAAGGGAGAGAGTGGTATTTTTGTAGCTTTTTTGGACAGTGTTCTCCTTTGACACTACACCAAAATTCCCTAAGTGGTAGTTTCTCTCTCTTTTCTTTTGGTTTTTTTGAGACAGTCTCACTGGGTAGCTCAGGCTGGCCTTAAACTTGGGCAGTCCTCTTGCCTCAGCCTCCTGAGTGCTTTGATTATAAAAGTGTACTACCACACCCAGCAGGTGGTAGTTTCTTAAAGGCTAACTACAGTGTGGACTCTGAAATCAGGCCTGGGGACTTTGGTATTCTATCTCATTAAAATCCTTTGGTCTAGCTGGGCATGGTGTTGCATGGCTGTAATCCCAGCACTTGGGAGGCTGAAGCAGCAGGATCCCTGAGTTCAAGGCCAGGCTGGGCTACATAGGGAGACCCTATCTAAAAACAAAATCAAACACAGAACACCAAAAAGAAAAAACAAAACCACAAAACCCAAAATAAAACCACATGAAAAACAACAATAACCCTAAAATGCTTGGGTTTAAAATCATCTTACTGAATTCCGAGTAATATATGTAGATACACCCGCACCCTTTCTCCAGGAAGTAGGTCCTCATTCCTACCCCCAGCCCTTCCTTGGGGGCGTGATCGGCTTAGTGACTTGCTTCCAAAAAGGGAAGGACGAGTGACTTGGCAGGGGGAACACTCCTGTAACGCAGGAGGAGGGCGCGTTAGCACCAGTGCTGTCCTGAGGCGTCCCTCATCTGATGGAACGACAGAACCCACAGCCCAGTGGGATCATGAGAAGCACGGCGGACGGCCAAGGCATTGACAGGCGGCCCGGCCAGTCCTGCTTTAGATCGTCAGTGTCACAGACCAGAAGAGACGGGAGAGGCGGCAGCCAAGTGCGTGCGGTGCTCCAGGCGGGTAATGAGGTGGAGACAGGACACTGGGGGTGAGGGATAGCTCAGTGGCAGAGCGCTTGCCTAGCTTGCTTGAGACCTGGGTTTGATCCCTAGCACTGAAGGGGAAAAATAAGCAAAACAAACAAACAAACAAACAAAAAACACCAAGAGGACAGTTCTGTGAAAACAAGTAAAATCCAAATAAAGTCTGGAGCTTCATAGTCGTGCATCAGTGTTGCTTTCTTCATTTTGGCAAATGTGTCCGGGTAATACACGCGTAACACTGGAAACTTGGGGGAAAGTCTTAGGAACTGTGGACTGTTCTTGCCACTTTTCTGTAAGCCTAAGATTGTTTCTTTAAAGAAAACAAGCCCATTCTTCTATCTTGCACTCCTGAGCGGATCATTTACCCCCGCACGGCTCACTGAATTATGCAGATGTTCAAAGCTGACACCATGTGAAGTGTATTACTTATTATCTTAAAAGTTGCATTCATTAATATCACCACCTACCCCATCAGAAAAGGTCCTTAACTAAAGCTGGGCGTCGTGGCGCATACCTGTAATCCCAGCACTCAGGAGGCTGAGGCAAGATGATTGCTTTGAATTTGAGTTCAAGGCCAGCCTGCAAGACCCTGTCTTAAAAACAAACAAAAAGTCCTTCACCGTTGAGCTGCTGGTGGGTATGAATTTCCAAAAAATTTAAATTTTCTGTTGAAAGCTCAGTTTTTATCATCGGCAGCAAACATAGCCTGTGGTTTTCCTTGACGTGACAGGCTTGTTTTGTTTATTTGCACAATAATATCCACCCAGTACCCAGGTCTAAACAACCATAGTTTATCTATTAGTCATTCTTCCAAGTAAAAATGACATTCAGTGAAAAAAAAAAAGTGGCTTGGGCCTAGGATATAGCCCAACGGCAGAGCACTGGCCTAGCCTGTGGGAGTCTCTGGACTAGGCCTCCTCCCAGCTCAGACTGTCACACAAGTGCCAGAACCTCAGGACAGCTGTCGTGCTTCGGGACACAACGGAAGTGTTCTGTCCTTCCACTGTCCCGTGCTTCTGGCCGTCGTACTGTGCCCTGTCCCCGTGAGGAGGAGCAGAGCACCATGTGCTCGGCCAGTGCTGAGTTCATGCACCAGCTCGGGGGATGAGGCCAACAGCATTTTATGTATTTATTTATTTATTTTTGTCTTTTTGAGACAGGGTCTCGCTATGCAGTTCAGGCTGGACTTCAGCTCACTTCGTAGTCCAGGCTGGCCTCGAACTCACAACGCTCCTCCTGCCTCAGCCTTCCAAGTGCCGGGGTTATAGGCGTGTGCCACCATGCCCAGGCGAGGCCAACAGCATTTTGATATTCCTAGGGAAAGAGTGTGACCTCACTATCCTTAGCGTCCTGAGGCTCCCGGAGGCCCACGCCATACTGCGGGAAGTACTGTGCTCAAGTAAAGTTGCTAAGATGTTACAGAGGAAGAGCTCAGGGAGCCCACAACCACTTCCCTGAGGAAGTGGAGACCTGGGGTACAGGACAGTGTATGAATGACACTCTTCTGGCCCAGCTTTCGTGCTTTCAATGTCCCAGGAAGTTTCCCCATTTGGTTACTGTATTTCCACGCCAGTTTTAAATGCTTCAGTGCATTGGCATCAAGTTTTTGCTACATAAGATTTGCTATTTTTACAGTAATTACATGTAAGACATCACTTGGTAAATCCAGAAAATTACCTCTTAAACTTTGTGTTCTTTCCTCTGAAGGTAAATCTCACCTGGCTATTGTACAGCGGGTAAACAATGAGGGAGAAGGCGATCCGTTTTATGAAGTTCTGGGAATCGTCACCTTAGAAGATGTCATTGAAGAAATCATCAAGTCTGAGATTCTAGATGAAACAGATTTGTACAGTGAGTAGCATTGTCTGGGTGTGACTTCCCCAAACCGCTGCTGTTTCTGTCCTGCTGTCTGAGCCATCTGGCCGTTCTCCTCCAGCGCTGTGTGCTCTTCGTCCTTACACTCAGGGGTGGAGGCTGGTGCCACCTTGCAGTGGGTTGCTGGCCCTTTTGAAGGCAGATCCTGTGACATCAGGTGGCAGTGTTCCTTGGATTTTTGTCTTTTTGAGACAGGGTCTCGCTCTGCAGTTCAGGCTGGCCTTGAGCTCACTTTGTAGCCCAGGCTGGCCTCAAACTTACAATGATACTCCTGCTTCAGCCTCCTGAGTGCTGAGATTACAGGCGTGCACCACCACACCCGCTGGCAGTGTTCTTTTCAAAAGCCAGGTTCTCCTGACAGTTAACCTGCACCTTACATGTCAGAAAAAGGTTTCTTGAATTTCAAACGTATTTTCATTGATGGATTTTTACTAAATTTTCATTTTATACATCTAAGCAAGTTATTTTCAAGTAAATTTGTTTTTCCTTAAGTTTGTACTTAAAAAGCGAGTGGGCTGTGCCACATTGATGGCTGCAGCTGGTGAAATTTCTTGGCTCTGAAACCTGAGGGTCAGGGTGGAGGGGAGGTGCGCAGGCGCAGGCAGTGGGCAGAGGCGCTGGGTGCGACCCCGGCAGGCGGGCCGGCAGGGTACGCGCCAGCACGCTTTTCTGCTGTTCTCTGCTTCTCACCTTCTCTGGGGAGCAGATGGGGATGCGGCGGGGCTCGATGAGGGCAGGAGGAGATGTTGTGGCCAGAGTGGACTTGGTCCCGGGCTGGGTGGGTGCGGGGCTGCATCCCATCTCACTGACGTGCAGACGCCCCGGAAGGCAGCAGCGGAGCCTCCGCCTCCACCCTCAGCCCTGCGCCTCGCCCTGAGCCTCTGAATGCAAAGAGGTGCAAGGTCTGGCGCGAGGGAGCTTCGGGGTAGAGGAGGAGCAGCCAGACTGTGGAACTGGCTCGGGGCGGGCATGGACCACCACGGTGGGCCGGGCACTCAGGATAAAGTGGCTTCCTCAAGGCGCAAGACGCATCCAGTCTCTCAAAGGGAATATTCCTCTTTCCAAGGAGTCTGCCAGCTGCTGTGAAAGAATACTTTACATCTAGCTGAGGATTATCTTCTAAGAAGATACCTTTGTTTTCACATCTGTGCGGAGTTCGTGAAAACCCTCTTTCCCAAGGCCATTTTACCCTCAACACCTGCAGGGAGGCAGAGGCCTCATGATAGAGTGTGGCGATTGGTGTCTGCACTCTTTCTGCCCTACCTCCCGGGCCACTCCAGGGCCCAGTGTGTCTCCGCAGATTTTGTGAGGCCGTGTAAACATTTATGAGATCTTATGTTCTTTGGTTTTATAGAAATAGTAGTTGAACTTCTTTTAAAACTTGATGGGACTGGTTTCCTGTAAAAATTTCACCTCGAGTTTGCTGGTATAAAATGCTGAACCTGTGATTTTGGGGTCGTTCTAGCTAGTTGGTTGGCTGAACCCAGAGTGGTCACACCAGGAACATTCTCAGCCCCCACCCTTTTTTGAGACAGGTCTCTCTCAGTTGCCCAGGCTGGGCTTGAGCTTGTAATCCTCCTGCCTCAGCCTCCTGGAGTGATAGGAGGAAGGCACATGCTACCATGCCCAGGTTATAGTCTTGATCTAGATAGATCAGGACTGATGATGTCTGTTGCCATTAGAAAAGTACGTTAAAGGTTGTGTTGATTTACACTGTCTGGTTCTCAAAAGAATTTGAGATAAAAGTATAAAATACGATTACCTTCTCTCCAGGAAAAGCCTTGTGATCGGTCTGTTTTCCCTGAGCAGAAGGTAAGAGCGCAGTGACTCATGATTCCTGGGGATGAAGCAAGCAGTTGGTGACTTGTCTTGAGGCAGTTTTTCCTTGATCGTTACTTTGTTGAGAGAAATTCTTTTTGTTTTTTTGGGTTTTTTTTTTTGGTTTTTCTCCGGTACCGGGAACCGAACTCACGACCTTGCGCTTGCCAGGCAGGCGCTTTGCCCCGAGCTAAATCCCCAGCCCCTGTTGAGAGAAATTCTTGAAACATGGTTTTGTATGAGATGACTTCTCTGTTAGGGCCTGGCAGCCCACAACCTATGTGTACCTGCTGCCTGTTTTTGAATAACCTGCAAGCTAAGAATGGTTTTTCACATTTTAAATTATTGAAAAAGGTCAAAGGAAGAATAATTACTCTGTGACATGTAAAATTAAACGCGGCTGCGCTTCAGGGTGCAGAAAGACAGCTGCGTTGGAGCACTGCTGCACGGCAGCGTGGACTTGCTGTCACAAGGTGTGTAGGACGCAGGGCCTGTGATGTGGGCCTGTGGGCCTGTGGGCCTGTGGGCCGAGCCTGCGGCCCTTGCTCTGGGTGACCTTCGAGGTGTTGCCTGACCTTGAGCACCCCGAGGTCTGTGTGGTAGTGAAGGGAGCAGATATTATTAGTGCTCCGCGGCTGCGTCCTTGTTTGTTTCTTGAGGGGTTTCGTCTGTTTTGTCTTTCGGCGGGAGGGCGGCTCTGAAGGGCAGGGAATGGCGTCCCTCCTGTGTTGCCCGTGGCAGTCTTCCCTGCAGCGTGGCGACGCGGAGCCTCAGGACACGCTGCTGCCCCTCAGGCCTCACGGCCTGCTGCCGCCTGGGCTTCTGACCCCTCTTCCAGTCCGGGGCGACTGCACCACCTCGGCGAGGCGCTGTCAGCCTCCTGCGGCCCCCTGCTCTCCTGCGGGCAGTGGCCAGGGCGTGTGCGGGCAGCGCAGCCCCGGGGAGAGCCGGGCCTTCCCGCTCGCTTGTCTCTCGCCCACAGGAGCCCCGATCCGCAGCTGCCTTTCCTCACGTTGTTTCTCTCATTCCTCTCAGCCGATAACAGAACGAAAAAGAAAGTGGCCCACCGGGAAAGAAAGCAGGATTTCTCCGCCTTCAAGCAGACAGACAGTGAGATGAAGGTTAAAATCTCCCCGCAGCTCCTCCTGGCCATGCACCGTTTCCTAGCGACAGGCAAGTGCCCTTGTCACGGTTTGCGGTCACTGCGGCCCCAGAGCGTCCTCAGCACACCGACGGGGGCTGGGGGTGGAGACCGGGACGTGGGTGATAAGTAATGCCACTTTTGTGTTTTGTTTTTTGTTTTTTTGTTTTTTTGTTTTGTTTTGTTTTTTTCTCTTTAAATTCTCTCCTCTCCTGTGTTCAGTGTCGGCATGAACCCTCTGAGACATTTACCAGAGGTGGACCAGTAACTTAAAATTGGTCTGAAAGGTAAGGATGAATGTCAGAGCCACACTGCATGTGTACGGTAGGCCAGGCCACCTCCTTGCAGCTAAGCCCTGGGAGAGCTGGCCGGCGAGCAGGCCGGCAGTGCCAACAGACACCAGCTCGTCTGATTGGACAGTTGAGTAATTCTCTCTGCAGTTTGCCTTGAAGAACAGTTGGACATCAGTGGTAATGCAGGTGCTATATTTTGCAAAGGAGAAAAATAGATTTTTAGAGTTAAATCTTTGTCTTTTAAGGTTTCGATGAAATCAGAGTCTCTAAAGACTTTGATGTGGATTTCTTGGTGGGCTCTTCAGACCAGATTCCTAACTTAGGCCCACTTAGCAGGCAAGTGCTCTCATTACCAAAGCCCCACCCCAGCCGGCACTGACTGCTTCTGAGAGGTCAAGGTTGGATGGACTGAGAGACTGGCCACCCCCACCCGCCGTGGCCTGCTAGGGGAAAGGTGAACTCTGCCGGCCTGGGCGAGTGTGAGAAAATCTGAAGGTACCCAGAGCTTTGTAGAAGACGTCTGTTTGCAAGATGTGCAGCTGGTACCTTTCAGCTGCATGTAGTACACATTAAATATTTTGGAAAGGAGGCCGCCAGCAGCCCTGTGACGGAATGCCACCTGCACGTTCAGATCGTGTTTTCAGATGCATGGAAATGCGCACAATACAATACTTGTGACATGGGAAGATGTCCGTGATAAATGTAAGATGGGAAAAATAATGTAGAGGAGTTTGTGTACATTGAGATTACGGCTGTTTGTGTGTGTACACGCACATACACATGCACAGGCAGACATGCTAGGCAAAGCCCTGGAAGGACACTCAGCAAATTGCTCTGGACAGTTATCCAAGCGGTAGGCTTATAGATAATTTTTATATTCTTTATCTTTTTCCTATTTTCCTAATTTTCTGCAACGCATTATCATTATCAAAAAAGCCACAGAAATAAATTCAGAATTTATAGCATTCACACACAGCTAATTAAAAAATGAGATCTTTAACTTGCTTAATATTCTTTTTCTAATTCTGATATTGTTCCTCATCGATTAAGACCCACATATTTGCTAGGCGTGGTGGTGCAGGCTCATAATGCCGGCACTCGGGAGGCTGAGACAGGAAGATTTGGAGTTCAAGGCCAGCCTAGACTACATAATGAGACCCTGCCTTGAGACAGAAACGAAACCAAAACAAAAAGCAATGAAACACTGACTGTTACCCTACTCGGCCTCTGAGAAATCATGAAGTTCAGTTTCAAGAGCGTGCCCTTCAGTCAGTAATTTTGATTTTCAATTTTTAAATAAAGTTTCTACCTTTGTAAGTGCTGATCAGCTTTACTTTTTCGCTGGCAAGCTGGAGTGCATGTTGATGTGTGCACGGCCTGCTTTTCTTCTGAACGTCTCCGCTGGTCCTGGAATTCCTCAGGGCAGCGGAGCGGGAGACGAGCCGCAGAGCCACGCCTGCGCCCGCACCCTGCGCCCAGCCTGGCACCTCCGCTGGCTGTCTGGACAGCGGACCCTTGTGCTGGTGTCGAAGCTGCAGCTGGTCGGTTCCTTCCCGTCAGTCAGCAGTGCAGGATGTTTTTCTGAGGGCGAAACCCCTGGCAGGTTAAAGGGAAAGATGAGAAAGGAGCAGATAGGAGGCGTTAGCATCTTTTAATTTCTCCCAGGTAACCGTCCCCAGTGGACCACCAAGCGCAAGCCTTGTTCATCCGTGTTGGTCACTTTGGTGCCAGGAGTTCTCACTGTGTGGGCACCTTGCTTACTGGTACGAGCCTTTCCGTCCACTTGAGTGTAATGTCAAGTTGTGTTTATGTCTATAGAAGTAGAGGCATTTAGCCCATCCCAGATGTCAGAGAAGATCCTTCTAAGGCTGCTAAAGCACCCCAATGTCATCCAGGAGCTGAAGTATGATGAGAAGAACAAGAAAGCCCCAGAGTTCTACCTCTACCAGCGCAACAAGCCCGTGGACTACTTCGTCCTCATTCTGCAGGTCAGAGGAATCTCTCTGCCGGCCTTGCGCGCCCTGAGCGCCGTCCGTGCATGTGGAGGCCTGGTGCGGGCCAAGGGTCTCCAGGGTTGTTTTGTCCTTAACTTGTTGTGTTGGGGGAGAATTTCATCACTTTGTTTTCACAGGTGTAAAATAACTCCAATACAAAGAATTTATAGTTACTTTACTCCCCACACTAAAAGGCTAAGCATGGCTGCTGAGAGACTGAGTCAAATAAAAAATGGTGAACTAGGTTGTTACTTTTTTTTGGAAGAGTTTGGGGAAGCACCTGTCCCCATCTCAGTCTTGAAATTTATTATCATGGGGTTCCTTGGTTCTCTTTGTATCACCTTTTCTCCTCTCCATCTCTTATTAGGACTTGACTTACACAATGACTAAGAGATATCTTAGTGTGTCTTCCATGAACACCGTCAAGATAATCCATTCATTGCTTTTATCCCTTGCAATCACCCAGACTGGTTGACGGAACCGATAGAAGGTCAGCAGCCGCAGGAGGCTGCGGTGACCGGTTCCTCCGCTCCTGGACGTAGCGCAGCCTATGGGTGGGCGCCGCCCATTCTGAACGCTTGGAAGGGCTTGCGTGCTGGTATCGTACCTGTGCTGCCCTTGGCATGGAGGCCGAGCTGGCACTACGATGAGTTGTATTGGTTTCTTGTGCCTCTCCATAGACAAAGCGTCCTTTTCAGGAAATCTGAGTTTATTTCGGTACAAGAGTATAGGCCCCTTAAGCTTGCTTGTGCGTCCTGGTTGTTACCGAGGGATGAGCTGGAAACCCCTGTGAGAGTATAGTTAGTACCTGAAAGGCCCTGAAATCTACATGGGTCCAGCAAGGCCCTAGTTGCCTAAATGGATTATGAAATTTATTTTTATTTGAACCTGGCCCTTCTCAGGTGTGCAGGCGTCGGAAATGTGCAGTGAGGGCCGGGTCGTGGGCCCCGGGCCTGAGCGCCGGCGTGGTGTCTGCAAAACGGTGTGAGGAGCGCCACTGGCGGAAGACTTCCTTCCTTGAGGCTTCTGTCCAGGGCTCCGGCTCAGGGCCTGAGTCTTCTGCTAACCTTAGCCTTCCTCACTGCTCCCTCTTCTCCGGAGATCCTTGAGCTCAAAACCCCGAGGGCACCGGCGGGGATACATTTCCTTCATTGTAGTCGGGAAGCAACACGTCCACGTTTCCCTGTAAAGTCTAGACGTGACTGCTCCATAACCCTGTAGGAACTCTGAGTGACGTTAAAGACTGTTGTTCAGAAGAATTAGGGGACTGGCGTCATGAATTTTAGCGGTGACGTCAGAAATGACGCGTCTCTCGGTTCTCTTCTTGTGTGGCTGGTGTTCCTGCAGCTGTGGCTCAGTAAGGCTCTGTTGCTAGATCAAAAACGGAGATCTTAAAATAAATTCTATGGAGAGGGACTGTCTCATCTCTGTTCATTCCCAGGTCGTGAACCTGTGAGAGACTTTTAGAAGGCTAGGGCATTTAGGTGTGCACGCCCATCTTGGGAGATCTCTTCGTGTTGAATGCTTACGTGAGTGTGACGGGCGTGCTGAGTCTCGGGGTTTATAACAGCGCGTGCTGGAGGAACTCGCCTGCGCAGGCGCCGAAGCGGTGGGTTTTGGTGCAGTCCTACGCTCGCAGGCCCTTCCCCGAGGTGCCCAGGACTAACAGAATGAGACGTCGCGACGCCCACTCGCAGCCTGGTGTAGCTGCTGTCTTTGGAAAGTGCACTGCACCCTGAAACCTGCAGCTGCAAACGGGGCGGCCAGCGACGGCACATGTGGCCCTGCAGTTCACAAACAAGAGTCAGAGGCGAGCCACGCCGGCTCCCTTTCCCGGCCGGGGCCTCGGAGCCGGTGAGACGCCCTCTGCTTTAGAATCGCTCCTGAAGTCCTTGCTGTTGGCACTGTAACTGCTAGAAACATGGGTTCTCAGTCCAAGGCCCTTCCCATTACACACGCATAAAGAAGCTAAAACTTCCGGTTAACCCAAAAAGCAGATTTTTAAGCCGTAGTGTACGGAGGGAGTGGTAAGGGCGATGAGAAGAACCCAGGGAAGCATGACATAACCTCTGCGGCTCTCCTTGCCTTAAGTAAGTCCACAAAACCTGCATACAGAAGGAGAGAACGCGGAGGAACGTCATCTTGGTGGACAATATTTCTACCATCATAAAAGAACAAGCATACCAGGAAATGTTATATGGTATTTTAAAGTTGCATGGCCAGTAAAATAAAACTAACTGATTTGGAAAAAAATCAAACATAAAAGCCAGAGAAGTATACTTTAAAAAAAAATATGTGACTCATAACAATTGATCATATATTATGTCACAGTGTACATTCTAGTAATTACAAAAAGACAGACATTTCATAAAATCACCTACATAGATTTTAATAAATTAAACTAGGAATAAAATATATATATATAATTTAAAAGTACTAAAAATGGTGATAGATTCTCTTATATAGGTTTATCTGTAAGGCACAGAACAGTGTGTATATGTTCTCATTTGTGTAAAAGAAAAAAGGTGCATTTTCACACAAATATATATATATAAATGAAACTTCCCCGAAATGTTACTCAAGTAACTGGTACTAAGTGTTCCTTCTTCAGAGGAGATTAGAGGGCCAGGAGTGGAAGGAAGAAAAAGCATTTCTTCCTTGTATGGTCTGAATTTCTTAGCATCTCCCACCTATTTAAATAGTCATTTAAAACAGAGTTATTGGTAAAAGAAAAACCCTAAATAGCAACTGAAATAGGGAAAAATACATAGAATATTTTAAAATAGACAATATATCATAAAAGACTATTAATAATGTAAATACTATCTGTACAATGTATCAGAATTTTAAGAAATGTTATTTCTCTAAGTACTTAAATAAAACATGGAGAACTATAATTAGCTCAAAAGAGACCAAAGCAATAAACTCAAAAAGAAAACTAAAAATTGTCATAAAAATAAACTGAAATGAGAAACCCTTTCAAATCACAAATCAAAATTTGATATTTTAAAAGATTAATAATATTGATACATGCTGGGCATGGTAATCCCAGCACTCAGGAGGCTGAGGCAGGAGGATCAGTGTGAGTTTGAAGCCAGTCTGGGCTACATAGTGAGACCATGCCTGAAGAAAAAAAAAAAACAAAAATGTCAATACTCTCTTACTGCAACAATCTTAATCTTATCACAATTATGTGATAAAAGAGAAAAAAATAAAACAAAATTTTTCCTCTCTCTAAAAAGCTGTTGTAACAAAGGATTTAATATGAAAAAATCAAACTTTTAAGACCTGCTAATTTCCATATTATACAAATAGCACAAGGTGAGATGACATGCTAGTCACAAACATTCTTTACGATGAAAATGAGCAGAGTCCTAACACTGGAAGATGAGGGCCATTCTCACTAATAGGGAGTAAGAGGAACAATATACCCAGAGACTTATTCCTGTGACACTGTCTGAATTTAGTTTAAGATGAGAAGCTAGTTAAGGACAACGAAACTAGAATGTGCCACATTACTTAAGAAAGCAGGAAATTGAACATCCAAAGTATAAACAGTAGACAGAGTGATATAACTGCTTATATCCTTAAATTAACAGTCTCCTGTCTACATATGTCATACTTTACAGAGCTATGTAAATATATTTATAGCAAATCTAATAGCCGGGCATGGTGGCGCACGCCTGTAATCCCAGCACTCGGGAGGCTGAGGCAGGAAGATTGTTGTGAGTTTGAGACCAGCCTGGGCTATAAAGTGAGCTCAAGGCCAGCCTGAACTGCACAGAGAGACCCTGTCTCACAAAGACAAAAAACAGGGCTGGGGATATAGCTCAGTGACATAAGCACCTGCCTGGCAAGTGCAAGGTTGTGAGTTTGATCCCCAGTACCACAAAAAAAAAAGAAAAGACAAATAACAACAAAAAAGCAAATCTATTATAAAATAGAAATAGTTCAGGGGTCTAATAGGTAACAAATTGTGGTATGATAACAAGGCATCATTGTGCAATAATTAAAGAGATGGAAAGCATATACAAAAGTGAAAAGTTCGTGCATACACAATAATTATAAGTGCAAAAAATTATTTTCCTAATAAAAAGTAAAAATGTGATCAATCCCTGTATAATGTATACAGGTGGTATTTTACAGTGAACCATTCCTTGGTTCTTCGTGGAGTAAAATGTCCACACAGCAAATGAAGATGTGTGATTGCTCTTTCATGGACAGAACCAGGGAGCGAATTTAGCAAGGACAACAGGGAAGGAGCAGCAGCTCATTGTGCATTTGACAGGAATGCACTTTCCCCTGGAGGTTTTTTTTTCTCTTGTTGACCTCATGCTTCAGCTTAAAAAGATACTCTTTCTATAAAAAAATTTTTTCCAGTGGCCTTATTCATGTTCTTTAAAGCTTCTGATGGGGATTCAAAAGACAATTTTTCCCAAAGAGGGAATTTTTGCTTTGTTCATGTAGCATCTTAGAAGATGTCTTAGTTACTTTCTGGTAACTGTGGTAAAATACCTAACACCCCCAATTTAAAGGGGGTGCTCACAGTTGATAGGGGTTTCAGTCCATAGCTGGCTCCAAGGCAGGGCAGCAGGAGCAGCAGTCAGTGAGCCTTCCTTTCGCTTTTATCCCATCCAGGCTGTAAGACTATTGTAGGCACCCAGGATGGGCCTTGCCATTGGTCGCACTCAGAGCTATGTTAAACTAATCAGTGGACTAATCCAGTTATCCCACCCACATCTGGTTATCACAGCCCTAATCCAGTACCACACACCTATGATTTAGTCACCTTCCAAAAGCCTCACTTATGAGTGCGTGAGGCTTGGGTGGGGGACATCTAGATGCAAGCCATAACATTCTTCCCCTGGCCCCCAAAGGCTCATGGGCATCCTTTAATGCAAAATGTATTTAGTTCACCTCTAACTGTTGCCAAATTCCCAGCAGTTTCAACATTGCTGGAAAGTCCAGATCCAAAGTGTCCTCTGAGATTTAAG